TGACTGCGTTCGTTCGGCGATAAGTTCGAGCAAACCAGAACAGACAAATTCAAATTGACTTTTAATCCTGTAAAAAAGTAAATTTTCTCATTGAAATTCTAGAAGAGTCATTACAGTTAGAGATATAGACCCTATAATATTTTTAGAAACCAACGGCGACAAAATTTTCTATAAACAATGATATTTTCAAAGATCTTCAAACAGAGTTCAATTAAACATTCATTATTTCTCTTCCTCTTAAAAAGGAGCTAATGTTTGAAAAAATGTTTATAATTTTAAAAGTTCATTTTGTCTATAACCTGATCCTAATCTTCAATTTGACCTTAGTTGGACAAGGTATGAAAATGTTTAACGATTACTGGAACTAAAAACCGCCTGCGAACGGAAGTCATAAGGTATCTGTTCACACCTACAAAAAAAAAAACTACAATCGTACGAATTGTTTCTGTGTTATCTGTGATATGTCGTCGGTATGTTGTCATCCCCGCCGTCTCCCTTCCTTTCTTTGTTCTGTTTCTGTTATGTATTGTTTTCGTGTCCCTTAGCGCTAAGTTAGCTACCACCACCGCTCCCCGTAAAACGGCAATAGTATGTTTGAGAATCGTGTACTTTATAAAATACGATCTATATATATATAACTGGTCTTGTGTTGTTTTGTGTTGCCAGGCTTGCACTTTTATGTACGTACCAACCCTTGTCTCGAGTTTGTCTCTAGTGAAACTATGTCCCTAGCATTCACACGAAACGCTGACTTTATTGCGCGCCTCTTGTTGCGTCCACGACTCTTGCGTTCCATACCTTTTTTTTTTCTTCAATTGTTCCTTTCCGTCGTTACGAATCAATCACGACGACGATCACGACGACGATGATGATCGCAAACAGAAAGATACTAAAAAAAAAAAAGAGTGTAATTTACCGAGAGTTGAAACACTATGACGTGAACGACAATGTAATTACTTGTCACGCCACGTTGATTTTCTTTGCTCGAAATCAACAAATCGGCAATGATTACGAGAAATCGGGAAACAACCGTTTCACACAGCTTTTATTCTACACGATGATGCTGAAAAAAAGGACCCGATGGACCATTCCCTCCTTGTCCCTTGTCTACGTCTGTTATCACCTGTCTTACAATGTGCCAACAACCCCGTACACCAAAGCCCTGTGTCTGTCTTAAACCGATCCGTGCTATCTAAACCCACCGAAAGTATTGTCATACTTAACGAAAAATGTGTTTATATAAAGAAAAAAAAAAGAAAGAAACAAACGAAAAAAACACGACGACCCTTTTTTCGATTCAGCCCGATCGGCCGTACAACCCGTCCGCGTATCTTGCAAAACCGGAAACCATTTCTCGCCGCGTTGCGTCCTCCGCCATTACGGTACCAAAGATTCGCGTTTTCACGTGTACGTGAATCCTCGTACACAGACGAGAGAAATCTCTGTGTAAAATCTACGGGAAAAGTAGTCGAATGATAAATAAAGAAAACAGAACGGAAGAGAGAAATTGAAAAGAAAAAAAAATATGAAAGAGATGGCTGAAACAGGAAAGTCTCTGGGTACCGGGAGAAAGAGGCAAGCAAAACAAAAAAGATGTCGAAAAGAAAACGAAACAGAGAGACAGAATCGGCACGTTGCGTCCGGAGTACCGCGCGATTTCTCTCTCTTTGCCGAGACACCGTCCGTTCTCTTTTTTACTTTCTTCATTTTCCATCGTTCGATCTATACACATGCAGTATACCGTGCACGCTGCCGTTCGAAAGTTTGGAGCGTCGTTTGAATGAACAAAGCTTCTCCCTGTACATACACGATCCTCTTTACGTTTCGTGCTCCTCTTAAAAATACTCACGGTACAATCATCGTATTAATTTAGTGTTTTAAGAAGATATATGATAAAAATGTATTCACCTGTATATGATATCAATATTCATTATTTTCAGTATAAGGAGTAAGAGTGCTCCAAATTTTTAACCGTAGTGTTCTTTACAGATTGTTCCCTAATATGTTTGAAATATTGCAATAATGGATTCGAGAACGGAAAAATAACTAGAAAAAAAGCTTATATGGACATATGTTTGACATAAGTGCTCAAAATTTTACACGCCAATAAAACCTTGTAAATATCTCGTTATTAATGAATATTAATAAAGTTACCATGAGCTTAACCCTTTCACATAGTTACTGTCACATGTCCAATCGAATGTACGTTGTACAAACTCTTTCTCGACTGGTTCCGTGACCAAGATCCATTACTGTAATTATTTCTTACTGTTAAGAAACACACTGTCTAGGTTTTTCTCAGTGTCCGCTGCATTGAAAAATCTCGCTGTGTCCGAGACTCGTTGATCACGTTCTCTATTTTCCGTTCTTCATTCTTTCGATTGGTTTACTCTTGCGTTTCCTTTTTATTTTTGGAACCATTCAAGTATGGTTTGGACTTACCAAGTAGTGACGACTGTGCCTGCCACCTCGCTGTGCTCGTGCTTGGAGGATCAGCACCCCGGCATGTTGTTTGATCCCCAAGTGACCGAATAGTAGCACGGTGCGCGCAGCCGGAAGTCGTTTTCCGGGACGACATCGTGTAGCCTGAAAGATCGTCCGTCTTTACGATTTCACGGGTTGGGGGAAAGTGCGATCCTCCAAGAACGAATCATGACCCCATACGCAATCCCTTAGGGACCGATGAATATATATATTTACATACCGAACGCATCTATGCAGCCTGTTAGACGGCCTCTAATATTTTATTTTATTTTAATTAGAAGGTGATTGTTAAGAGAGTGTTAACTCAGTCTTAAGGAGTGATTATATGGTAACAGTGTGACTTTATTCTAATTGAAAATTACAGTACAGTAAATAGATACGAGAAGAATAGGAGAGCTCTTGTGGAAAGGTAAAACAAGATAAAGATATAGAAAGTATTTAATAAATGGAACTAGACAAGTGATGCCGCTGCTGAATATTCAATTACAGGTCCTGAATTACGTATTTAAGAGTTGACTGGTCGAAGTTACGAAGATAAAATCCCTACCAAACTGTTTCGATGCCTTGAGAGTCTAGTTTTTCACTCAAATTGTATATCACATTGAAGGGGAAGCTTAAAAGGGAAGTAACTTTGAACAGTCAATTTGTTGTACTAAAATTTTTTAAATATTCTTTCGATAATGTTTCAGATTAAGTGTTTGTTTGGATTTGTTGCTACATATTTCTCTATGAATAACATCGTATACTTTGTCGCTTTCTGTAGAAATAATATTCTGCTAATCAGAAATAATAGATCAGTGACTTGAATTCAAGTAGAACCTTTTAAATATATATTAGGAAATCTTTATCAAGTTTTGTTTACGACTCTTTTGCAAGTGTATAATTCCTTAAAATGCCTGCCCGACATCTTAACCGGAAAACCAGCTATACCGAACGAGAATAGAACGTGCAATCGATCGCTCCGCGCGGGCTTTTCGAATATCATAATCAAATCCTCGAATAAAAAGCCTATATAAACTCTCCGCGCGCAAGAGATTATTCTCGTTTCATACTTTGGATTCATCCGTCGAGACATTAGCAACCGATTAAGAATCACCTAATAATATTTATCATTTCTACGACATCCGTTATTCGATCAAAAGGCACCGTAACAAGCTGCGTACGTATGCGCGCGATACACCGCATATTCTATATATTATTATTATTATTATTATCTACCTACCTACATCGATCTCATTATATACAGCACAGAACACAGATCGCTTAAATTATATTCAGCTTAAAACATACTCCAACTTTATATATCGCAGATAATCCAGCCCTCAGATTTATTACTTATACCCATATTATATACTTTTCATTACGCCTATTACGTATCTATTACATGATATATATGCATGCGTTCTACTCTCACGAAAGTACCAAGAATAATACCCTCGCCCCTCCCGCCCCCCTTTTTTTTATTTATCAGCCTCGGGACGATCGTTCTACTTTTCTCTTATGGTTTGCCGAATGATATTTTATTATCCGCCCCCACTTCACCCCGCCCCCCTTTTGAATATGACAGTGCTCGAAAAACATGAATCCACAGATAAGCAATACCAAGCAAAAAAAAAAAAAGAAAAAAGAAAAGAAAAAATAACAAAAAGTGAATGAAAAGCAAAACTATACATATTCCCGCTTCGTTGCCGATATACGCGTGGTACAGCGACAACAGCCGTGCGCAATAACGCTCAATGGAGAGCATAGAGTATTTCTCCCGTACCCCGTGCGCGCGTGTTCCATTGTTCCGTTTGTAAAATCAATTTGTATCGGTTCCTGATTCGAGCGGAGGCATTAGCTTCTCGCCGCGCCGCGCGCGAACCCGTCCGGGGTGTGTACGCCCCGGCGTTTCCAATGGAGTTGCGGATCGTATTGGCAGCGAAGTGAGAATATTGGATCGCATTGAACCGTTGACCGCGGAAGCTGATTTGACAGACAGAATCGATTGTTCGCGCTCTCACCGTCTGGCCTTAGGATACAGCCAGCGGGAGGAGAGGAAGAGAGACAGAAGACTGCTCGTTAAATTGATTCGATCTTTGTCCGGAATCCGTTCGGGGGTGTCCACGTAGATGTAGTTTTGCGTGTTGATCGACCGCACAAATCTTTACGAAAGAACAAATGTTCGAAACGGAGAACGTTTCCGCATCCACGATAGTTCATGAAAAGTCAATAGTCTCGTGATGAAATTTGTTTTAAGTAGTTTTTTGTTCTTTGAGAAATTGTTAAATTTGAAAATTTCACTTGACTTAATGTCGACACGAATTAAAAAAAATAGCTCCTACTAAGCATTGATTTTTTTGTGAGTGTTGATGTGTTAGTCGATTGTACATTTGTCAGTCTCTTCGTTTATTCGTTTCGTTTCCTGAATTGTTGTTGGAATTGCGATGAAATTTCGAGTCAGCATCCCGCGGCGCAACGGGTCAACGATACGATCCGACTTTTCGGGGCATGGATATATTTTTGATTTGTAACAGTCGTGTGGCGGTGATGCGAGGCCAAGTTGTAACCGAGCAAGGAATCGGAATAGTAGGCATCAGAGTGTCCGTGGACAGGGAATCTCGCTTCGGGTTCACATTGACGAGGGCTGACGGATGGTAAGTACAAATATTCTTCCGTTTTATTTAGATAGTATGGGATTAAAAGCCTTTGGGGATAATTCGACTGCTTAAATGAAATATTGTTCAATCGAAAGATTTGAATTCGAGTTCAACGTTCTTGAGTTGTCGGTGTAAAGTCGAACTTTGACACTGCCACTGTCTGGAATAAAGATGTTTGAAATTCGATGACGCATCTGTCGTGCATTTAAATGCTTGACTAGATGGGTCTCTTCATTGAGGCGGTGTCGTTCACAGAGACACCATTTCCGTAGTATCAATTCATCCTAAACGTGAGATGATGCAGTCTATATTGTACTTTAATCAAGGGATAAATGATACAGAAACGACTGAGTGCTGATGAACTGACGAGTTTCATGATAGGACTAGATAGTGAAGGATACTCTACGTATTCAAGACTCGTACCAATAATTGACGAACGCTATACAAATAGCTAGTAATGATACGTTATTTCTTTTAATAATTATGTATACTCATAATCAAGCACGTAAAAATGATGTTTTTCTACTGATGTCATTAGCATCAGACTAACTGTCCTTCGTACCTTACTAAACACCTTATATAAGAAAACTTAATTCGATTAGTTTAACCCATAAAGACTAGAAAGATTTCCTCAAGATTTATTAAAACCTCACTGAACTCGTGTTTTACCTGAAAACGAACACAACACGCGTTTATTTGTTTCAATCGCGGAAGATGGTTCTAGCCGCCATATTGGCGAACCGTATGCGTGACGTTAGTATTTGCGCACAACGATGGACGACAAGCATGCACGCCAGCTTGGACGTCGTTCGTAATAGGATCAAGGCTGCATTGTAATGAAGGGCGAGGTAGGAGATGTTGGAAACACCTATATCAAACAGGTATACATATAGTAATCTTGGCGAGGATAATCCTGAAACACGGAGCCGGAGGAGTTGGCCCGGCAAACCACATCAAAGCCCAACCTAATGATGTCGAAAGCTTCCTAATTACTCCGTGTAAACCTGCGTGATTAGACTGACCTCCGTTCCCACTCCCCCCCCCCCCCCCCCCCACATTCATTCTCGATCGCTGTCAAAATTTTACCATAATATAGTGAAACTACGAACGAGAGATTGCATCCTCGCGAAATTCCAGACGAACTCGTCGAAACGACGTTTCCACATGCACACGTAATCCTAGAGAAGCCTGGACACCCAATCCAAACCATTCCTATTCACCTGCTCTATTCCTCTTTAATGAATACCGGAGCTAGAAATGATAGATTACCAGTTATTGCGGTGGCTGGGTGTTTTGATAAGTATACAAACGAACGTTTCTACATGCTTGATTGTGAGTTATACGGACTTACGTTAAGTCCTCCACCGTCTAGTCCGACATCTCTCCGTGTGTTGATATTTCCGTTTTCGAGCCGAACTTTCAAATCGGCTTCGAATGCGGGAAAGTTTTCGGGAACGCCAGCACAGATGCTATTTTTCTACTATTCTACTTGAATAAAATGCAATTACTATTAAAGTGTTTTAAAGAATTATGTGGTCCTTTAAGGCTGAATTGAAAGATTAAACATTGAAACTGTGAGCGTCAATTGTACACGTGCAATCGTTTCCTAATTACTGATGTTCACTTCTATTTACCATAGTTTTAAATCGTGAGGCATGATACGTATTTATTTCGAAATTCGAATATGACAATATAATACCTTGAAGTATTTAATTTTAATATTCGAGGAAAAAATAAGTACAGTTACTTTTCTGCAAGAAACAATAGGTCAATATAAGTGAAACGTCCGATATTGTGAACAATCGAAAACAGAAACAGTCCGGGGCGTTGCAACAAAACACGTTCCCCACCGTTATCGAAAACTACCCTTTCAATTCGGTCACGGTTGAGGAGAACCGACGCGTATCCTTTATCGATCGCGTGGACTACGATGTAATACCGGAAGCGGTATAGTTTGAAATGCATTTACCTACTTCGATCAGGTTTGACGTGCTGGTCAACGGCGGCGGTGCAGTGACGCTTCAGTTCCAGCGTAGCCCCTTCAAACCCCTTACGAGGACCGTGTTCGTGCCGTGGAATCAAATAGTGGTTCTACCTCCTGTGGTGATGACCCTTAACATGGACGGCGAGTCCCATAAATCGAACCAACCCCCTAGTCCAGCTGTCGGTAAGTATTATCCCCTATATTACATTTCCTCTTTTTTCTTCTGTATTTTGTTCACGTTATATCGCGTATCCCTATTATCGTCTCAGTTAACAAGACGAATAAACGGCCCGGAAGTTTCATATATGGAGAAGATGCGAATTAAACACAAATTAAAACGTATATATCAAAATAATTTCAATATTATTTCCGTTATGTTACTCGTTTTTTTTTTTTCGTCTTTTCGTTATTTCGTTTGAAAACATATGTCTTAATCATCGCTGATTAATCATCCAATATAGACGAAACAGGATACATGTCCAAGACATTACTGAACGTGTGTGCCGTCTTTGTTCCGTCCTTAAGTGTTTTATGTTTTTAAGTTCCATACCATTTATGGCATACAATATAATAGGCTTCCCAGGGATCTCGATGGGACTCTTTAGCGAACACGGCCCTTGTTTGGAGCACGATCACGAGTTGCTTCGACCCATCATTGTCAGCACATGGATGCCCGAAAAAGTAGGCGCGTTGCCTGGCAAGAGTTTGGTGTTTGCCGAAAGTCAGGTAAACTAAAGAAAAATCAATTACATGTTCCGATACAGAAACAGTATGATTAAAAAAACACACAGTTAACTAGCTGAATACGCATTATCGAAGTCTAAGCTTATATGTATATGTTACATGGAGATAGGGATATATGTCTACCATGAAACGCATACAAGATCAGAAGTTGCAAAACTAACAGTTCGTACCAGATTTCCTCAACAACTCCATGTCCACACCTGTGCATCCTCTAAAGCCAAGTCACAACTATTCCTTCGTGCTCATTTGAAATTCAAATACCCCTCTACTCCAGACCAACAGCTTCTGTGCTCGTAAACAACATTTTCGTCTGACCAGCTGACCCTTCTTGCAGATCGTTCAAGAGAGCATCTCGATTCCGGGCTCGAATCTACACTTGATGTACCAAAGTAGCCAAGCAGCCGGTTACCTGTCGACAGTAAGGATGCAGCTGACTGGCCCGTTCATTCCAAAATCGCTGACGCACGTCCACGTCCACGTGGAGATCGAGGGCTCGCTGCACACGAAAACCTACGAGGCGGACCCGAACCTAACGCATACATTCGCTTGGAATAAACGGAACGTTTACAAGCAGAAGGTGTACGGCGTGGCGCAAGCCAGGATCTCGATCGGCTATCAACACTCCACTTGCTCGTCCGTGATATGGGAAACGCAGACGGCCACACTGCAGGGATTCGACGTGGACATCTCGGACATCGGCGGCTGGGGACTCGATATCCATCACCATTACAACTTCCACGAGGGTATTTTGCAGAAAGGGGATGGAACGACTCTTCACTTCAAACAGTATCCTCGTACCGTGAAAGTTGTGATGGGTACTGGCCTGCAGAGGAACTTGATCTGTCAGGACTGCAACGGTCTCGCTAAGGATGCCAGACTTTTGACACCCGTGGCTCTGACCAGTGGTCCCGATGGAAGCATTTACGTGGGAGATTTCAATCACGTTCGAAGGATCACACCGGAAGGAAATGTGTACACTGTTTTAATTCTGAGGTAGGCTTTAAGATCGCGACATTTTAGAGTAAGAAGAAATGAATTCAACAAGAAAGACTTAGAAATATCAAAAGAATCACTTACCAAATGATTGTACGTATGAATTTTGATTTCCAGTGCAACCCAGGTAGCTTATCAATACTATCTCTGCGTCTCTCCGGCCGATGGACATCTCTACATCAGCGATCCCGAGAGACATAAGATACTGAAGGCATTAGCACTGGAGGATGTGCAGAATCCTAGCATCAATATTGAGCCGGTTGTTGGAAGCGGTGAAAGGTGTATTCCAGGGGATGAAAGTCACTGTGGTGATGGAGGTCCGGCTATCCTCGCTAAGTTGGCTCATCCAAAAGGTAAGAGTATACATCATGCGCTGCATTAAATTGTATCCATAAAGAAAAGATTAATCAGGAAGGTATAGTGTTCTAATCGTAATCTGATCCGTATTTATATCAGTTTCAATCCCCCCCTGCTAAACTGGTCAACACGGTGAGTTGTCAGCTAATAAATGCACCCCATCTCTTCCGCAGGAATCGCTATAGCAGCCGATAAGACGATGTACATTGCCGACGGCAGGAACATTCGAGCGGTCGATCCCAACGGTACCATTCACACTCTGATAGGCCACCATGGACACCATAATCATTGGTCACCAGCACCCTGTGTAGGCGCTATACCCGCCCATCAAGCTCAACTGCAATGGCCAACCGGATTGACTCTAAGCCCTCTGGACGGTTCTCTGCACTTTATCGACGACAGGCTAGTCCTGAAGCTTACCAGTGATCTAAAAGTACGAGTCGTGGCTGGAACACCTCTGCACTGTACCAGCAACAGCAACGGGAACGACGGCGAAGTGTCCAAAATGAATTCATCGAGCATCACCAGTCCTAAGAAGTCGGACGAGGTCCTTGGCTCGGTGTTGGCCGTTGGCTTCAGTCCAACCGGCGAACTCTACATAGCTGAGAGTGATTCTCACAGGGTGAACACTATCAGAGTGGTAGATAGCTCTGGGAAAATGTCACACTTCGCGGGACAACAACAGGAACGACTACGTGGCCAATGTGAATGCAATAATACGACTCCAAGCACCAAGGATCTAGAAAGTTGCTCGTGCACCGACGACACTAGTAGCACGGAGACACTCTTATCGTCCAACGCCAAGTTCACCGCTATATCAGCGATTGCGATCTCTCCCGATGGTGTTTTACATGTGGCCGACCAAGGTAGTCTGCACATTCTCGCTCTCCAGCCGTATCTACCGAATCACGACGAAAGTGGGGAGTTCCATATACCGTTTCCACCTACCAATGAGGTCTACGTGTTCAATCGATACGGTCAACACATATCCACGAAGGATCTAACATCCGGCAAGACGCGTTATTCGTTTTTGTACAGCAAAAACACGAGTTTCGGAAAACTGTCCACGGTGACCGACAGCGCTGGCAATAAGATTCAGTTCCTAAGGGATTACAGTAGCGTCGTTAGCTCCATTGAGAACACTCAGGATCACAAGTCCGAGCTGAAAATCTCAGCTGTTGGGTTCCTAGAGAAACTTTCTGAGCGGGGCAGAGCTGAAATTGCTCTTGGATACGATGGTTCCGTTGGATTGCTTACCAGTCGATCAGGAGTACGTATTAGATACGAGTTTTTGGAATAATCTTTGTCATTCGAGTATGTACTAAATTGGTTTATTACAGGGTGGTGAAACGTACATATACAATTATGACAGTCTAGGACGTGTTACCGATGTGATTCTACCTACTGGCGAGAAGCTGAAGTTGTCTTCTGATTTATCTGACAACGAAGGCTTGTCTGTGAAAGTGTCAGCTCCGCTACAAGCTCTATCGAAGGGTGACAAACAACGAACAGTTGAATTTAAGATGAAGAATGAACGATCGAAAATGTTGACGATTACTGATGGTAAGTCTGAAATGATTATTCGTATTCTACTGATGGAATCACCATAGGCTGTTTTCTAGAGACCAACTTTATTATATCTCCCGGCGGAAAAGTCCAAACAACAAATTAATTATTTTTTTCAGGTACCAAAATCAAGAAAGCCGTTGCGTTCACCAACAGCAGTCTGGAGGTCCTCCTCCCTGGCGGTGGTCGGGTCCTCAGTGCACCAACCACGAAACATCCACTGTTAGAAGCTGCCTTACCAGTAGAAGCTGAAATGTTACCTATGTGGAGCTATCAATTAATGTCATTAGGCGAACTGACAAACACTATGACCACGGCGTATAACTTGGTCGGTGATGTCAGTCACTTCCAGCAGACCCTTAACAGAGAAATCTGGGTAAACGACACCAGAGTAATAGGTGTGGAATTCGAGCAAGCTTTCAGTCGCGAAACATTCTACGACAAGACGAGGAATCCACTCTTGACTGTCACTTTCGATCCAGCTGGACTACCCTTAACCTGGCAGCCTCATGAACAGGGTCATAATCTTAGTATAACGTACGACAGGTTTAATCGTATAGAAAGTTGGAAGTGGGGCGCTTCTGACGAGTCATATGGCTACGATCGCCACGGCCAACTGGCTGAAATGACCAACAGCCAGGACGGTACCAAGCGTTACACATACAACGACTTCAACATGCTCTCTAAAATTACCTTGGCCAGTGACAGACATTTCTCTCTGCAGTATGACGATGACGGTGGTCTGCGTCATATTATTCTTCCATCTGGAACCAAACACTCGTTTTCCTGTCAGGCTTCGTTGGGTTTCCTTCGAGTGACATATGCACCACCGGGTAGCCCCAGAGCCTATCTTCAACACTATAGTCACGATGGGAACTTGTTGCAAACTGTATTCCCTGGGGACGGAGCTCGAATAGTCTACAGGTATCACACTTCAGGGCAGTTAGCCGAGGTGGTACACGGTGATGGAAAAAGCGAAATTAGGTACACTGAAAGTGGTCTTCCATCAGAAGTGATACACTCCGAAAGGGACGTCGAGTACAAGTGGGATTATCAGTACAGCGCTGGATTGTTGGTAGAGGAACGCATAGATTTCGGTGCCAAGACCGGTCTCAGCAACGCAAAGTTCACTTTTGACTACGATTCAAACTTCAGATTAATCAGTGTTCAAGGTAGAATTGGTGGTCAGACTCTACCAACGCATACCATGGCTTATAGCCTCAAGACAGGCACGTTGGAACAGATAGGACAGTTTAAAGTGACCAGGCCACAGTCCAACGAGACCACTGTATTTGATGGTACAGCGCTATTCTCTCGTATCACTGATGATCGATTCTTAGAGACTCAGGTGACCCTGACGATTCATCAGCTGGAGGTTTTCAGGATGGAGTTCACTCATGATTCTCGAGGCCGTATCAATCAGACCAGAACGTATACTCGTAATGTTGCCGTGAATACGTACACTAATGTGAAGAATTATACGTGGGACTGTGATGGTCAATTAACCGGGGTTGAAGCCCAGGAACCGTGGGGATTCAAGTACGATGGCAATGGAAACATGTTATCATTGACGTACAGAGGGAACACGATACCTATGGAGTATAGTAGCATGGACAAAATAGTGAAATTTGGCGAAGGTCTTTATAAATATGACAACAGAGGTTTGGTGGTTCAAAATGCCAGGGAAGAAAGGTTTAATTATAACGCTAAAGGGCTTCTCGTTCGCGCTATCAAACGAGGACGCTTTGATGTACGCTATTATTACGACCATCTTGACCGTCTGGCCACTAGAAAAGACAACTATGGAAACGTTACACAATTTTTCTACAACAATCAGAAACGTCCTCACGAAGTAAGCCAAATATACAGTCCTCGAGATGGCAAACTGATGTCCTTAGTGTACGACGATAGGGGACACCTCATCTACGCACAAGTATACAGGCACAAATATTATATTGCCACCGACCAGTGTGGTACTCCAATCATGATCTTCAGCCAATATGGCGAAGGCATAAGAGAAATTATGAGATCACCGTATGGACATATCGTTTACGACTCCAATCCCTATTTATATCTACCTGTTGACTTCTGCGGAGGACTTTTAGATCAGGTGAGATAGATATTGATGGTCATCGTTGATGTTAAATAATAACCTTTTCGTATAATTGTAAAATTTAATTCGTAGGTGACGTCATTGGTGCACATGCCAAACGGTAAAGTATACGACCCACTGATAGGTCAGTGGATGTCTCCTTTGTGGGAGAATGTCCTGGACAGAGTGGACACCCCAACTCATCTGCATCTGTACAGGTTTAACGGAAACGATCCTATTGATGTTAGGCACACAGACAGGACAAATCAACCTACAGGTAAGGGTATTGTATCTTCAAACAGTGTAGACTCTAGTTCGATCAGTATTGGTGTATTCTAAAGTCTAGCTTAGGGTTCGCTTCTGGAATCAATCACCTTGTATCACATGTTCAACGACCACAATATATTTACCGAAACGATGCTACAATCATTCAAGATATTCCCTACAAATCGGACTTTAATGCAAGACCTCCTTCCCTTGACACATCATCGTTTTTCAGACCACATATCATGGCTGTCGCACTTGGGCTACGACCTCAAGAGCCTGGCACCCCAATTGTTCCCCGAGGAGCTACCTGACAGTCTAGTCCCGCCAGCCTTGGGCCCAGGTACCTCCATCTTCGGCAAGAAGAAAAGAACAAGAAACCTGGGCGTTCAATCGGGCTTCCTGGCTCACATCGCACAAAGACATTCAGGCGACGCAGTCAGCCTATCGGCGCCACCTCGATCAGCGCTGAAGAAGGACACCTGTGAGCTGATACCGAGTCGTTTAGGCGCAGCTTCCGATCCTCCGTTCGGCAAAGGGATCCTAGTGTCGAGAACAGCCGATGGTCAGGCTGTCGTGTCCAGCGTACCAACCGCGAATGCTATATACGGTGACGTGTTCACTTCGGTGTTCAACCGTTCCTACTTCCTGCCGTTCACGTTCGTGGTTCACAGCGCCCAACAGGACGCGTTCTACTTCGTGAAAGAGGAGACCTGGAGGGCCAGCGAGGACCGTGGACAATTGAAGCGTCTAGGTGGCCAGGTGAACACGACGTTCCACGAGAATGAGAATGGCAGCGGCAGCAGCTCATTGATAGACGTGAAGATCCACGGTGCCAGCTACGTGGTGAATCTACGATACGGCACCACGGCCGAAAAAGAGAAACAAAGACTGCTTCATCACGCCAAGGCGACCGCCATTCGTAAAGCTTGGCACAGAGAACGCGAGGCCCTCAAGGCGAACACTCCCACCACCATCGAGTGGATGGTGGCCGAACAGGACGAGATATTGAAGTCAGGATCCGCATCCAGCTACGAGGGCGAGTACATTCACGACGCGCAACTGTACCCCGAGCTCGCGGAGGATCCGTACAATATCAGATTCGTGAAGAAAGCGGTCGACCCATCCAGCAAGAAACGGCGCAGAAGGAGAGGCGCGCCCACCTGCAAACTTTGGTGGCTGGACAAGATCTGCTAGATCGAGCACGCGGCGGTCGAACTAGTCCTCTTCTCCCCGGGGTCGGGAGAACTGTCCAAGTCGAAGCAACAGGAATTTTGAAACGCGACGAGAGAGAGAGAGAGAGAGGGAGGAAGCCGAACGGATTGACAAGAGAAATGGAGCCGCTGTACGCGAGCGCAGCGTCCGTATGCACACGTAAACGTACTGAACACTATCAAAAAAAAAAAAGTTTTATACCAAAGTCTATTTGTGTATTTCGAAGATGCCAAAAACATTACCGTTAATATGATTAATAATGTACCGTGATAGGGTGTAGTGTGTAAGGGGTTTCGAATCACGTGACTCCCGGTTTACCAACGGTTCATGGGAGTGAACACGAGGCGTTCCGAGGACCCGTCTCCCGCGAGTGTTCCGCGGGGAAAACCGTGGAATTGTCCCGGAAGCATTGATGTTCCTTCGACGAAATCGAATTTAAAAGAAAAAAAAAAATGTCTACGGATTCCGTCACGCGGAGACCGGTGTACGGAATGCGATCGTGAACGTTGGTACGATCGTGATGAAATCGATTCGGCGCGAGATCGAAAGAACGGATTACGGAAAAGACGAAGACTGGGGAGGACAGGCCATTCGTCGTTGAGGGCGAATCGAGTGAGAGAAACTAGTCAATATATAGCTTTACATTGACGTAGAAACTTTTTCCAGTAGGATAAGGACGAGCGAAAGTGTGTCACGATCGTCGATATACAATGTGAGAACCGTGCCGTACACTCGTCTGTCCATCGTGTACCCGCGCGCGATATCCTGGTCGTACTTAGGAGGATCGAGGAGAACGAAAAATAGTATCCTTGATCAGAGACGGACAAATGTGGACAATAGGTACGATTGATCGCGAGTGGAAAAGGGACACGGGAAGCGTGTATCTCAACAATGAATGGCCCCGTGAATAGAAAGGATCAAGGATCTACCGTTGTCAGTCGAAAAGAAGAGGAAGGATACGGATCGTTCAGACGCGCTTCGAATTGATATATCCCGAATTTAGGCGGTCGAAGAGGAGAGATGTTAACGTGTATTATAAAGTGGTGCTTTCGGTGCGACAGTAACGAGCGTGACTAGTTAGAGGATATCACTAAATAGCGTGGCTAAGGTATTTTTAACTGATGGATGTGTCCTATCCCCCCGATTTCCCCCTTTAGCGCTAGCGTCCACCATTTCCTCGAGGATTTCTATGTCGCGTACGATTCGTTCGAAAGGGAACTTTCTATAGGGACTAGCAAAAGGAGGACGAGAAACACTGTCCCCCGCCGCGACGATGACAGAGGGCGAAAGGCGAACGTCGGGCGTACGAACCGATGTCTGTTTCTGTGAACCACGACGAAAGTGGTTCGAACTCATTATCGGTAAATAATACGTATAATACAATATCGCATATTCGTGCTTGCTGGATATGAATAACGAATGTTAAACTATCGTTTTCTTCACCGAGTAACTAAGTGTGTATATCTAAATTATTCTAAATTAACGCTGATCAGTACCGATCGTTTTTGCTGTGTACTGAACGCCATATACGTCTCTACGTGCGTAAAGTATTATTTAGCACCATCCTTCGCTAACCCCTCCCCTCGCCCTATTCAGCTCATGTGATTAACCCTTCCGGTGCTATAGAAGCCGATGGATATGTACAGGGTGAATCACAGACGGAAGAACACACGAATGTCTCTGGTAGACTTGGAAAAGTGTCCCTCAATGCGTTCTTCTTTTCTAATGAAACTACATGCTTCTATTTCTTGCCACTATTCTGAATATTTGATGATCTATGTAGAATACGGAGACTGCGGATGTTTATGCATGTTCATTTTTTCATAGACTATTTTACACGTATAATGTAAAAAAAAAAAACACTTCGTTAAATGCATAAAATCCGTAGTCTAAAGGTAAGTTTGTACATGAGAGATTACTTTTTTCGATTTTATATTTCTATGTTTAAGGCGATATTGTAGTAGACAATTGAATTTGTGCAAGAGATAAAGTTGTGTAGTTCTATTTTATAAAGTCCTCGAACATTAACATCGGAAGGGTTGACATCGAACAGATTTTTAGCCCCCACCCCCCTCTCCCGTTCTATCTTATTCTATTCTATTCCTACCCCCTTCCGTCGCCTTCCTTTCGACATTCCCCTTGATTACTCCGACGCGTTGCTTTCCCGCGTTTTTTCGAACATTCATATACGACCCCGCCACATCGGATATTTTGCGACGGCTTTAGACGGCGCCATTTTAACGGGATAGATAGCTGGCACCACAACGACATTCGCTGTCCGGATAGAAATCGAGAAAAACGGCAAAACCAAAAAAAATTCAACACTATACGCTGAGTGTATAAACGAACGGAGAAAACAAAAAGATGAGAACAGTATATATATAGAGAAAGAAAGAAGTTAAATGAAGGGAGAAAGAAAGAGAGAGAGAGAGATATATAGGAAAGCTTCGTATAATGTATTTTTGACTCGAACGTCGAGTGTTTAGAGCTATGTAACACCAAATTCTCCAAAATTCTGCGGTCCAAGCGAGCTCTCGTCGATAGCACCCTAACGAGGTCGAAGGCGGTCACGTTTCTTTTTCTTATTTTTTTATTTTCAAATTTATAACAGACAGGGAGCGTTGAGAACTCGCCATAACGCGTGTCGTTAATTGCACACCGGATACCGTGTTCAACGGAACGCGTCCGTTCCGTCGCGTTCTTTCCAAAAATGTTAATGCTGCCAACACGAATTCCAGCTAAGGGATGACGCCATCAGAGCTACTGCTTCGATTCGTGGACACCTAAACACTCACTGCCCAGAGTCCCTCTTAAAATCCATACCCCCCTCTCCACCCCCCACCACCAAACACACCCCGTTTATTCGTATCTCTTAACGTATAATTAATACCATTGAACCGGCAATGGCGTTCAAAGAATCGACTATTTTTTAAAAGAGAAAAAGGTATCGAGTGTCAAATTATTAAAAAGAGAGAGAAAGAGAGTATAGGTGATCGGTAAAAGTACAGTTTAAGGTGGATACTCAACGTGCAGGGTCGCGAGAACAGTCCCACAGCTTATTCTTCGAGTTCTACGTGTACTAGAGAAAATGAAAATTTAAAATACTAAAAATGAAAGGATATGGAGTAATCGATGAGTGGTTTCCACTCTCTAACTTCCGTGAAGTTTCGTCTCGTTTCGCAGAAAATGATATTGAAGTATTAACGGGGTAGAAATCGAAGGAGGAAACCGATTATTATTATTACGATTATTAATTAATTATTACCACGATTACACGCGAATCGTATTATTATGCGAAAAGAGAAATTATGTATGGCCGGAAGCTAGCTGAATCCGTCGGACCACGTGATGAAGATGATAATGATGATGATAATGTACGGTAATCGATTCTCGCGAAGCGAACCTCGTCCACGGGGACGAGTCGAGATTAAGAACAGTACTGATGTTTCGGTGGGAACGAAAGGGAGAGAGAGAGTGTGATATATTAAAGAAAAACAAAAATTAAGAGAGTGAGAGGAAGAGAGTAAGAGTGAAAGAGAGAAAGGAGTGTGAATGGCAGAAGAGACAAGTCATGCTGCAGCTACTACGACCACTACCCCTAAGTAGATTAAACGCTACTTTGCCGCTGATCTAATTGTTTACTGTCACGTGTTGCTGTAAACCTAAACTAACAATACGATATATTTTATTTATATAATCTCATCGACTGTATTTATTGTAAATAGTCACGATGTTTGCTATGATATAATATATCTGTAATTGGATGGAAACCTGCCTGAGACTGCGCCCAGCCCTGTCCTCTATAATTAAGTCTCCCTGTGCACACACACACACACGTACATACAGTGTATAGAGATCGAGTCAGTTAATTAAATCTCAAAATGTCTCCGCTGATTTTACAGATAGGTACAAATTTCTGTAGCGAGAAATCATAGTTAAACGTGAACGAGAATCTTTTTCAGAGTGTCAATTACTAGACTGTAGATGTTTTTGAAAAATTCTATTCATATAGTAGATTATTTTATAACAATATAAGATCAAGGAAATTTATCGCATTAAAACTAAAATGAGAACTTATTTTCTGTTTATTGCTTGTTTCATTCTATTTTATAAAATTTGTGTACGCCATAAATGCATAAACTACTCGTATCGTTAAAAGCGATGAAAACATTTTGGATTTTGAAGCTCGCTGACTCATTCTGTAAACATGAACGTAATGAAGACACGTACTTGGGACACACGGATCTATATGTATGTATATGTACACATGTATATGTATACAAGGAAACAATTTAGTTTGTGGGGAATTCGCGGACGAACAGGTGCAAGCACAGGTATTTAGAATATCTGAGCGATTAGGAGAGATAAAGACAGATCTGTATCGTGTTCGACGAATTATTACGATGCCAATACTTCGTCTCGTAACGAAATATTGGGAGTACGTCATGTTGTCGGGACTCTGCCCCCTTTCCCAATTTATCGATTCCATGAATCTCGTTTCGGGAACCCTTTCAAGGATGAAAGAGAACGATGGTCAGACATGATTTTTTATAAATGTATTTTTTCTCCCCGCGTACTTGACGACCATCAAATCGACGGTCGTCGTAGAAGCTCTCGAAAGAATTGTCAAAAAAGAATTAACACGAAATTCCAATTGATAAATCGCCGCCATTAATGGCACACTGTGTCACCACCCAACCAGCATGTCCAATAACTTACAATATTACTATCATAAGTACAATATATTAAGTGTTTTCAGAAAATATATGATCTATATATGATAATAAAAACGGGAAAACGTTTAATTGGCGAGTTTGTCATTCACTCTATTTGATCCTCGTTCACCTTCGCCCTCAGTACTCTTCAAGTGAACCTTCCTATATTTTGTTTCGTTTCGATGGATTAGCCGCGGCTGGAACGATGTTCTTTTAATCTGCTCATGATACAAAGAGCTAGGAGTAAATTCAGTATCTGGAAGGGAAATTGCGTAGGTTTACATATGGATTTGTTTTAGATTTGTTTATTCCATATACACGAAATAAACAGCTAAATAAGTAGCTAAATATGTAGAGGCGACTGGCTCATTTTACACTTTATGATTCTCTAGATCAAGGTAGAATAATGGGTGCAGTCAAATGTTATCAAGAGAAGTGTTTACTAGTTGCTTGCACCTGTAAAGGACCTCTTCACTTATACACTGTTACGTATATAAATTATTCACCTCACCTCCATGATAAAATACGATAAAGATAGACAGAGAGAACCGTTTGTGCAAGATATTAGGGTGTAATTACTCTTCCACGTTCGTTCAATCGCTATTGTAATCGTACATTCTTAATTGTGTATTCAACATAACTTACCAATATTATAAAAATCAGGAGAGCCGCTATGCTTATAGCATGGACATGCGACTTCAGTAAAAGCACAGTGTTCCGAAAACATCCCGACTTAAATGCTACAGCTTCCGTCATTAGTATACACTGAAAATATTTATTCACTAATCAGACTGCACGAAAAACAAATTGGAAACAAGATGAATTATCAAACAAATTTACTTCATCAATGTTCGTGACGCAACAACTTTTCGGAATGCTGATCTGATACTTGGCCCAATCCCTCGAAGACTTAATCCCACAACACTTCAGCTAAAATACAGTTTTTTCTTAATATCTGTCTGAACAGAGTCCAAAGGGAAGGAACAATAAAAGATACGAGGGACTTTGTAACGTCGTTGGTAGAAGAAATTGATCTCGTACGTAACTATGAGTATTGTCCCAAGCTTCTCTACTCGACAGCGCAGAATGGTAACTTTTAATGGCTGTGACCATGTCACTTTGGATATTTCTCGTAACTTGCTCCAAGATCCAAAAACTCAGTATTGCAATTATGAAAATAACGCACAGAAACAATAGACAACACAAAGCATACTGAAACCAGAGTAACGTTGTTCTTTCTTTGGTACTTAATTGGAATACTTTTTGTTTAATAATTGTAGAACTCTACCTACAATCTGTAAGTACTTTTTTTTTTTACAAATCAGTCCAATAATTCCAAGTAAAGACACAAGAGAACCAACGAGACCCGTGAGTAACAAACTGATCTGGAAAGGGCGATGTCCGATCAATCTTGACATTATTCTTTCATCCGTAAGGATCCATACTGATATTACAACGCCGACTGTGCCTGCAAGCTTCATTTATTGTAAGAAAAGGAAATGATTTCTATGCACAAAACTGATAGTTAAAACTGCAGATGTCTAAGCGCATCTCGTGAAAACGCTAATACTTTTTCTTTAAAGAACATTGAATTTTTTTAAGAATAGATTGATTTTATAGTTTAAAACAAATACTCACGAAGGTTATCGCATTGAATGTTATAAAGACAGATTTAATGCATCGCCGTGAGAAATGATTGTGCTGAAACTTGTGGAAACGCATTCCAAGAAACTGCGATTTTTTCTCGGTTGAAACGGTTGCTTTGCTGTCGGTGACATCCTCGTCTTCCGTTTCCGTTCCATCGTCGATCCTGCCGGTTCCGTAAATCCTCAATCCGCTAAAAAATTTATTCCAGTTCATGTATTTTCATGTGGTTTGAAATTGTCTAAAAAAAAAATAATTGAATGACAGTAAATGAATATCATAATAAATCATAAAAATCCTGTTAGAAGTATATTTACTGCTTCTTACATTGGAAGTTGATTTACGGAAAAGAAAAATACAGAAAAATTGTAAAAATTGTTACTGACAAGTTTTTCCAATGATATGAAAATCTTTTGTGGAATTCCCTTTAAACGATACTGAGAATTAACAATTATTTTTAACCAACATCACGTGCCACTACGCAACGTTACCGACGAAGCATGAATTCTGTGTACTGTAGACGCTCGATAATTGATCGACTCGGGGCTGTAGTGGGCCAAATTTTCAGAAATTGATCAGTTAACAAGCGACAATTACACGCGCGTGTTCCACATCAAGTTTATAGGGCTCTCGCTTTGTCCGACGGTCATATCAGGTATACAATAGACTCTACAAGGAAGACTTAGCCGGCAAAAACATTTTAATTCTCTCTGTGAGAAAACTAAGTGATGCGTATATATGTAATTACATACGCCTATACCTGCAAAGGTCGACCACCTTCTACAATACCACATCCCCACTATCTAGATTCAATTCGCATGAAATTATTTCATAATAAATTAAATATTTTCGGCAATGTAATATTTTCAGCTATTATATCTTCACGGTATGTTGTTAAACATTCCGCCAGTTGTTTTATAAAGCAAGCTGTTATTAATTATACCTAATAGAAATTGAGGTATAGAATAACATGTAAGATGTGGATATTGTAAACAATAGGTTCATTTGTGCTAATAATACTCAGAATTCATGCTTTATCGGTAACGTCGGGTATTGACACTAAAATGATAACAGGGTTACGTAGCCCTATGAACGTGGGACAGAAAAAAGCATTGGATGATAAGTCTATTCTATATCTACTCGGTGGTGTTACATTCGTCGTTTAAACTGGAGTGATGCATATGTTTGTTCCCGCCAAGTCGTATTCCTCGGGGATATACTGCTCTGACCAATCAGCTACTCGGGATCTCTCGAAGATAGCCGAATGAACCGCTGGGACCAGGCGGATTTAAACC